TATCTTCGAGTCGAGCACATCCAATTAGAGCATTCTTAGTTGTTTACGCGTATTTTGTTGACTCATGTCGTTTGTTTTTTAATTTGTTGTTTCTCTTATTGCTGCTTATTCATTAAAAATTGTTTTGTGCGGCATTAATAATGCAAATTATTTTCATTATTTTTTCGCGATGTTGTTGAATGAAAACCGCCAAAAATGCACAAACAGCGGTATTTCTCTATTTATACGCTGTTAAATGTGGGGAAGTAAGAGCCACTTCCGTTTCGTTATAATTCTACAAAAAAAATAGTTCTACACAACGGAAATTGGCAAAATCGATTTAGATTCACAAGTGTCAACAAATTTGACGCGATTGCTTACTGGCAACTTTGTAATACTCAAAAATATTGTAACCATATTTAGGAAATCAATTTTCACAGAGTATTGCCCAGTCGGGAGCTTGCGATAGCTACAATTATTTTTGATTTTTCGCTTTCCGCTTTTTTGTCATTTCTTTTCATTTATTTGTTTCGCCAAGCGTCGCAGTTTTATTTGTTCTATTTTACACAAAAAAAAAGTTTGCACATTTTTATTGAGTTAAGACTCATTGCGTTTTATTTAATTTAATAATATTTAATATTCAGTTTTTTTTTGTCAATTTGCGCGGGTGCCAATAAGTCTCTATAAAGTTATGACCTACATTACATGTACACCTAGTTAAGCATATTAATTTCTTATTTGCTTCATTATGAAATCTAATGTGTCAGTTGCGTTAAACTGTCCATAATTATTATTACGAATTTTGTTTTTATTGTTTATTAACACAATATTGTTGTTGGTGTTGCTGGTGGTATTGCTATTGCTATTGTTGTTAGTATTGTTGTCTGGTTAATCTGTGCGACAGGCCCAGTTGGAAACACTAATTTTTTGTTGACGCTTTCACACTTTCCGTAACGTTATTGTTGACGCTGTGTCTACCCTATTTATGTAAATGTATGAAAAGGGGTATATTGGTGAGAGGTTTGAAAATATATTGGTATTATTTATACAGAATAAATCTATTTACTACTACAGATTTGATTTATTCGTTTTATATTTTCTTTCATTTTAATTTTATTTAATTGAATTCGTCGCTTTAAATAAAAATTTAATTTTAAATTTAGTCTACATTTAATAAACAAATGAATAAACTAGCATATGGAGCGTAAAATGCTGGTAATTTCGGCATTTAGCTATTTTTGGAAATTTGATCAGCTGAAACGCCTGTCTTAAGATGTATTTACATGTATCTCCAAAAGGGTATTCTTGAGTATGCAACATCACATTTACCCTTCATTGTCTGGATGCCATTTTTGCAGTGCTTGAGCTTTTTGTTTTGGACTGTGCAAATATTGGATAACAAATATCTTTTGAGCTTTGCTGTGTGTGTGTGTTTCCGTGTGTGTGTGTGTGTGTGTCGAATGTGTTTTTCACTTGCTTGGCCCTTTTCGGGTTGGCCTTTTCAAAATTTATAGCGCAAGGTTGTAAAATTTGTAAAAAGAGTTGGAGCAACCCTGAAACCTTTACGAATGCCATAAGCTATCATTTTATGTGAAATTGAAGAAGGTTAGAAAGAAATGCATGAAATTTGAGCAAAAACTGATATATGAGAGATGAGTGCGCTCAGGAAAGTTCATATATAGTACAGATGGAAAGTTATATAAAAGAATTCTCAAATAGTGTTGAATAAAAATCCACAAAATGTGCATTATTATTGATGTATATTTATTTAATAACAATTAAAAACAGTCCAAAGTCTTAAAAAGCTTTTTATGCATAAAAATTCTAAATTAAAGTTACAAATAAAATTATAAAAGCTGAAAAGAATTATATTAAATAATACATTTAAAATTAAAGAAAAAATTATCGAAATAATACATAAATTTGGGGAATTAGTATAGAAAATTGTGCAATTTTTATTGCAATGATTGGGGAAACACACAAAATTCCAATCAGACCAAAAATTGTTAAGCGTTAGCAAGTGAAGCGAAGATAGATAGATAAAGATGGAAAAGAATGGGACATAAAATAAAGAAAAAATAGGCTAATATCTGAAATTGTGGAGTAGGACTACAGTTTCCCGGAGATATAATAGTAAATATGCTAAGATATGCCAGATAAAAGTTTTGGTATAAGCCATTTTCATTTTCTAATTTAAAACGAAAATCCATTCAATGTTTATATTAAACTTAACAATCGATTCACATGCCGCATTACAAATTCAACTCTAATCATCATAACCCTTTTTTTTGATGGGGCTAACTTAAAGCCGAAACGAAACTCCTTTTTAAAGATTACACCACATTGTGCTTTTAGTATGTGTGTGTGTGTGTCTCTCTCTTAGTGGGCGTTTGTGGAGGTGCTGCTACTGGAATTGTCTCATTCAGCATGCCACATAATTCATGGGACTCGCGAGGCAACAACTGCGACTCCAGTTAACCGTTGACTGTTGCTGCCTCGTGCACACATACATCCATATATATACACACATAAATATATATATATATATTCGAGTGATGGGCATAAATTAAATATTTAAAATGGTATTGCCAACAAGCAGTGTGTGTGTCACGTGGCGTGGCACATATCGCGTTGACGCATTATGACGACGCATTCGCCTTGGGAATAGCAGTCAAAAAAAAAAAAGAAAGAAAAAACAACAAAAAACCGAACTCGTGCAGCATAAAAGTTAATTAGGCAATTTTTAGTGGCTTGCCCTAGGGGCTGCGGGTGTGCGGCAACTGTGTCATGATGTGATTTTAATAATATACCAGCCTGTGTGCGTAAGTGGCATATCAAACAGTTATAGCCTCAACTATCACTTCAACACTTTGTGCATCTTCTCGAATGTATACAGAATGTAAAGTTGTTGCTTGTACATTTTCCTCATTAGAGACAACATTCTGTGCATTCAACATTCTTAAAGTATGTTGCGAATTTTAGAAATTCAGACCATGTGTTTTGGGTTTTTTGCGTTTGTTTTTTTTTCTTCGAAATTCATGTCGATTTAATGCGAAACATTTAACATTTCAAGACATTGTTATTAATTAAATTTCGTTTTTATAATTCATTAGAATTGAATTTTGAAGGCGAAATATAAATTAAATTCTTTTAATTTCAAAATTTGTCTCTAATTTATTTTGTTATTTGCGAAGAAGTGATTTTCTTCTGTCTAAAATTTAAATGTTTTGGTCTTCATTTCGAAAGACGAAAAAAATGAGTCAATCATCGGTTTTTCCACTCAAGCGTTAACGACAAAATGGACTCATAATGTAGTCGCAAAATGAAAGAAAAGAAAATGTTGGACATAATGAAATCCGGCTATTAGTTGGCTCAGTTGAACTCTGATGTTCTTGCCAACTGATTAACTGATTGAGGTACTTGTCAGTCGCTTATATTTGCCATGTGCGATAAATGCAGTCGTTGGCTGTGGAAACAAAAATTGCTGCAAATGGCATCATCGAGCTTGCCAGGCAGTTGTTTGTCTGACGAAGCAAGCAAGGTCTGTCTCTCTCTCTCTCTCTCTCTCTCTCTCTCTCTCTCTGTCTCTTTTGTTCTCTATCTGTCTGTCTCTATGTCTTCCTCATTCTGTCTGTCTATCATTTATATATCTGTGTATATATTTATATATCATTTGCAGTGCAGTTTGTCAACGGCAAAGCGGCAAGCAAAGCTTCTCTCATAAGTTTGTTGGCTTGGTTATTTACAGCTGGGCTGTCTGTCTTCTGATTCACAACCCATTCCCTCCGCCCTACTTCTCACCCCTTTGGCAATCGTGCATATGATTTATTTCTCTATAGCAAATGACGTGCTATGTTCTTTATAGAGTTCACTGGCCCAACGAGATGATGGCCGCGTCAAGTAATTCTGCATACTTTTACGATTGAAAGTAGAAATGTTATAAATATGTTGCAGGCTCTGTTGCAACAATGTGTTACGTATCCGATTGCATATTGTTCCCCCTGTTAATAATTGTAGCCATGGCAATGCGTAATATTCTCATCAATGTTTAAACTGGCATTACGTATGCCAAAGTTGGTTATTGTGTTACGTAACAAGTGTATTGTATATAAATACAATTGAGTCTTTCTTTACTGAAATGCATTTAGGATTGTTTTAAGTTAACCTTAAATGTCAAAGTTTTGCTCTTGTGTGTGTGTGTAGCATTTAAAGTTTCCTGATTCAACTGCATCCTTTTCAACTCATACTTTAAGTATTGCAACTGATGTAAAAGATTTTTGTGATTTTCCCAGCGAGTCCTTTTACTGTATAACCAGTGCCAAAAAGGACATAGCCTCTCATTACGTTCCCTGCCAGAATATTAGTTATTTATTATATTTTATATTATTTCAAATTGAGTGTAGGTAGTTAGGTAATATGTATTGTCTAAGTGACATCATAGGAATTCTTGGACTCTCCAAATACACATTTCCTAGCTGATTTATAATTATTTATCAGTTTAATGCTTTCGTAATGAACTGTAATTTAAAAGCGATGCAATAGTCACATCATATTGTTTATTAAAGGCCCAACTGCAGTTAATTTCATTAACTACCAACTATGCAGCAGGCGTTAAGATTGCTTCTTAGATATATGGTAGGGAATGGAGAGGGAGAGGTAGAGAAAAGGGCGACATAAATTGTCGACGATGATAAAAGCTTGCAATGCTCGTAGTTGACTCGACTCAGTGGGATTAGCAGCAAAAGTTCAGCAAAAGTTTTCCGTTTAGTGCAGCAGGAAACTGACTGGACGCCTGTCCTTGGCCGGATGACGGAAGATGGAGGGGGCAGTGCAGAAAGGGAAGGAAAATGAAAGGAAGTCAGCTTGTGCGGTAAATTATTGATGTTGTTAATAATTCAATTGCAAAACGCGCAGATGAAAAACTTTGTTAGGCTGTTCTTCGCCATCTGATTAGTTTATACCACAGCAAATTTTGATGGGACTTGGACTTATGTGGATTCTTTTCTTTATACATATTACAGATTACCACATCGACTGCGAAGAAGTTGTGGGAGAAATCGGATGGTAAAAGCGGCGCCTCCGGCAATACTGGCGGCCCATTGAATCCCCTGCAGATACCCGGCGTTGGCGATCACTCGTCCGTTTGGAAGGATCATACATGGTCTACACAGGGCGAGAATATATTGGCACCTCCCCGGCCACGTGGTTATCCACATGGTGGCGCTTCAGATACATCCAACAGCGGCAATGCGGGCATCTTGAGGTGAGTTTTGTCTACAAGTCTACAGATCTGATACGTAATTATCTAAGGTACACAGTTAAAAGTTATCGATTAACCTATGATAATACTATAATAGTTAATGATGATAAATAAGTATGAAAGTTGAGGGATATTTCACATATTAACCGATTTTGTTCTTGCTTTGAATAGTCCCCGCGATTCGACATGCGTTAAGATGGTTGAATATGTTCTGGGCGGCTCACCTACTAACAAGGAGAGTCCCCTATCCAGTTTGGAGCCGCGTATGCGCAACTTGAAATTTGACGATAATGATAAGGTGAGTTTATTGGTTGATTCCCAGCTTATGCACAGATAACATGGCTTGTTTATGTTTGCAGTCACACGATGATAAGGAAAAGGCAAATTCTCCGTTTGATACAAACGGCCTTAAGAAGGACGACCAGGTACCAAACACAAACGGAGTCGTCAATGGCATTGACGATGACAAGGGATTCAAGTGAGTAGACAGCGAATGGTGAACACTGATCAACTTTTGTCTGTCCGTATGTTTGTCTCTGTCTCTGTCTCTCTCTCTCTCTATCTCTTTCTCTCTCTCTCTCTTTCTTTCTATGTGTCTAGTTCAAGTCTGGGCAATGGCATTGACATTAGAATGCCTATTCCATTGCTCAAACTGGTTTCTTCAAGGTCCACCCGTTGACAAGTTCTTGTCTTGTCGTCGAACAGTGCTAAGAGCGACGGGGTAGTAACGTAGACTTCTGGAGTTGTGTGTCAGTTAGTTGCTTCGATTTATGACAGGCAGGGGCACATGTCAAGTGGAGCTCTTTCAGAATTTTGGTTTTCTATTTCTATTTTTTTGAGACTTGCGTTCGTTTTCCATTTAAATATGAATTCTTGTAATTTATTGTTACATTTTATCTCATTAATTTGGCAGATATCGGGTTTATTAAAACCCACTAATTATTTTACTTTTTTCTCTACTTTTTTTTACTTTAAACGTCAGTTATAATTAAAATGTCGCTTAGACGTGGATATCATTAGCTCTACCCACAGAGATACAATGCAGCTTTAGATTATTTTTTTTTTTTATCAAACTCTGTGTTGACATCCGTTGAGGCACACACACAATCTCAGACACACACACACACACACCCACTTTGTCAAAAGCTGCCCACTTGGCCCACATTTTGTGAATTTATTTCTTTATGCCTGCTGCTTGGTTCGCTGTCATTTTTTTTCCATTCCTCTCTTTTTGTAGCACTCGCATATTGAAAGATGATTCAGTTTGTCAAGTGTTTTATGGCCAGAGTTTGGTCTTACGAGTATTTTTCGGCAGCACTTTCTAAATGCGCTTGAAAGTCGAAAGAACTTTCGAGTTTTGGCTTTCAAGAAAGAATGTTTATGGTGGTTATTTATATACCCCCCAAAACCATTAAAAATGGCTAAAGGGATGGGTATATTGACGTTATGCAAAAATGTGCAATGGATTCTTTAAAACAGAAGAATTTATAATAAGAAAAAAAAACATGGAGGGACGTAAACATTAAACCATAAGAAACTTTTAAACAATATATATGTATATATATATATGTATATATATATATGTATATATATATATGTATATATAGATTCACTCCGATCTACAGGGTATGCCATCTTCGGCATGCCTAAGATAGTCATTCTTTGTAGTTATTACATATTTATAGTCATAGGAATATGAGTTTAGATGTCAATAAAATATTTTGTTTCATGCATCTGTTCCCTCTCTTTGTCGTTATCCATTTTTATCTAACTGTCCTATTTGGTTTCTCAATCTTTTCATTTTTCTACTACCTTATTTCTTTCTCTATCTGCTATTCTCTCTTAATTCAATTGGTTTGCTTTGCCTTTTTCTTTAATTTTTTGCATTTCGTATGCACATTAAAAAAGCAAAAACGTTTTTAAATAGGCTCTTACAACACGCACTGTCAAAAATTGCAGGCCTTTTATAGTTTCTCAGAGCAATTGAAAACCAAACCAAAAATAAAAACCAGTCTTTAACATTATTGTTGTTGTTGTTGTTGCTGTTGTTGTTCTTATTGTTGCTCTGTTTTGCCGGTTTTCTCTTTCAAATGTTGTTGTTGCGATTTCATTGCCGGTGTCGGCGAAGCCAAAACGTGTTTCAATGCCAAACGTAATAACTGTTATGATGTAAGTAATCAACAACAATAACAACAACAAAAACAGTGAGTCAGGCCTGAAACGCAAAAAAAAAAACAAGATCGATTTTATTAAACAGTTTTTCTATAGCATTTTGTTCGATTAGTTTTCGGTTAAGCGTTTTTGTTTGTTGCGGCAGGTTTCTTTTTTTTTTTTTTTTTTTTGTGTACCACTTTTTTGTTATTTCGTTTTTTTTTTTGTGTAATTTTTTTTGTGCTCACGTTTTGTGTGTGTCGTGTGTAATGAAATTTAGTTGCGAAAATTCAAACGGCCGGCTTCAATTGAGGCAACTAACGAAAACGGCCAACTTTGGGCTAGTATTTGAGTTCGAGTTTCAAGCTGTTAATTTTTTTTTATTTTTATTGTTGTTGCTTGAGGTTTCAGTTACTACATCAGAGCAGCTGTCGACCTACTCTCAGCGGGGACTTGGCCAGCGGGGATGGATCGGCCAGCAGTTGTTGTTGTTGTCGTTGCCACCTCTGCTTTGTCTGTCTGTCTGTCTGTCTGCTGTTAACTTGGTCAACTTGCCGTCTGACCTTTTTATCTACTTTTGGGCAGCGCACTTTCTTTTTACTTTGAAAGTGAAAATAGTTTATTCGTTTCTTTGTGTTGTTTGTGGCCATTACATAAGCATTAAAGATTAGAATACGAGATTCTTGGCTAGAATCGGACTTACATGGGCATATTGCCAATGGAACTGACCTCGCACAAATTCTGACTGTCACTTTGATATTAGATGGTTTTTGTGGTTTTTGGGGCAGGAAACTGTTCTCATTAGCCCCTTTTAAGTTTTATGCAACATTGCATAACTAAAATCCAAACTTGACGTTTTTCAGTTTTGAAGAAGAGAATAGGAAAAGACGGAAAATTTAAGGTTGTAGTTTGAATTGAGTCATCAATTTAATGAGTAGATTAAGAATGAAAATAAATTTCAATAACCGAAAATTATTCCAAAATGATATTGCTCCTTCCCTGATAGTCAAAAATTTAGAAGGAATAGTTGAAATGTTTGAACTGGAGACCAACAGCCATTTATTGTAATCGACCAGATAATGGAAAATGTACAGAGAATATCTGAAATGTTTTAAGTGTGTAGTTCGTAACCAATTTTCCCCAAGAGCTCTTTTTACATCTTAAAATAATTACTACAATTGAAAGCCGTTATTAAATTGCCATTTGGCATCAGGTTTGGTTAATGTCTTTTGGCAAAAATGATGTCAAGCGATGATATATCTACAGATCTTTTAACGTCAATCTCATGAACAAATGAATAAAATAAAAAAAAAAACATATGTTTGGCAATATTAAGTGAATTAAAAAATTAAATGATAAGCAAAATCAAAAACCTCATCCAATTTGGTTAAGTTTCGGTTAAATTATGAGCCACGTGCTAAGCTTTCAAGGTCCGTTACAGTTTGAGAAGAATTGCATACGCTGATTTCATTGTCTTTGAATTAGTCACACTCATTACAGTTGCGCGGTCACTGCAGTTGCTGTTATTGTTTCTGCTGCTGCTGGTGCTGCTGCTACTGCTGCTGCTGCTGTGTTTGGTGTTAATGACCCGACAGTTAAATTATAGCCAATTTGTGTTGACTGCATGTTAGAGCGAGATGGCACCATACATAATACATACAAACTCACATACAGTTTTATGGCCACTGCTAGCCAGGTTGCAGAGCTATGGGGAGCGTGCGCAAGCACGCGCTATGAATGAAACGTATGAACAAATATACACACATATTTCCACAGAATTATTATTTATTGTTATTCATTTGAATTTACATTTGAAGCGCCGGCTGTATAAATAAACTTGTTGCTTATTCAGATTAATTTAATGGCAGTCGTCAGCTGCCGTTTGGCGGTAGAATTTTTTTTTTTGCTGACGTCATAGAGACCCTCTTCCCCCCACACTGCATTTAATTAGTCGCAACAAGTTTGTTGCTTAAGTCTTTTGTTTCCAAATAGTGGACGACTAGTCAGTGTCAACGATTAACAAACTGTAAACGGTACAATATACCAATTGGGGCCAAAAGCGCAAATTTATTTTTAATTGCCAATTAGTTTTGATAAATTTGTTTATAATTGTTTTTATGCAATCTCTAAATAATTGCCCTACAAGTTTGAGAGTCGAGTACTAAAAGTGTTTTTTAGTACCATATTGGAGCGTGTCACGACTAGGTTGTAGTTTTTGAGTGTGTCTGGGCTAAGCATGTGGTACAATTGTTGTAAAACTATAGATACCTTTAACGACTGTAATGGTGGGCAAGGATGTGTAGCTGTTGTCAAACTGTTTTAGGCAATGAGTTCTACAGTGCAATTACAACGGTATTTGTGGATTCCGCTGAAATGCCCCAGTGTTACCACAACTTGTATATTTTCAAATATAAACGATTCAATTGGGTCTACAGTACATCTGCAACTGTATTCATGGATGCTCTTAGTTTGCTCTAATTATTCTACATTTGGTAGTGGACTGTTTCTTTTTTAATTCCACGTTTTTTTTTTTCTCGAATTGCAGCCGCACTCCCGGCTCCCGTCAGCCATCGCCCGCTGAGGAGACACTGCCACGCCCACCCACACTGCTGGACCAAACACATCATGGCGGTTTCCCACAAATGCCCCACTTCAATCACATGCTTATGGATCATGGCCAGGGTCACGTGGGCATGGGCGCCGCTGGTTCAATGGGCGGCGGCGGCGTTGGTGGCAACAATTCCGTCGGAGGCGGAGGAGGTGGAAATGGCGGCGCCGCTGCCGCCTATGCGCATCACCAGATGGCTGCACAGATGAGTCAAATGCAGCCGCAGATGATGAATGGAGTTGGTGCCGGAATGCCAATGGCCGCACAGGTGAGACCAGCAGCAGCATTAAATGTAGCACACCAGTTTGACAAGCATTGTTCTCAGTATTCCACATTTGACTTGCAGTCACCGATGTTGAATCATCAGGGTGCACAGGCAGGCGGACCCAATCACATGGAATCCTCGGGCAACCTTTTGCAACAACAGCAGCAACAGCAGCAGCAACAACAGCAAAATTTTGATGTACAGGTGAGTCAGAAATACATTCCTATGAGCAAATAACCTTATAATTGTTAAATCCTACGATTGTCGTTGCTGTGTCTGCGTCATTTATTCTGTTGCATTAGATAATTGTAAATACATATTATTTTCTTAAATTATATATATTTTTGATCATCAGTAAGCGCCGAGTCGAAAGAAACTTTTGCCCAAAGTAGTCTTTTAATTTAAAGCCTCACTGCACAAGAACTTTTAACTTCTGATGAGAGTTTTACAGTGTGTATAATGCTACCTACATCGAATGACAACTGTTTTAATACAGATCTATTGAAAATTCAGTTTTGATTTAGTTTTAAGGTATACAAATCAAAACTTTTAGTACTACATCGGACTACCATATTAAATAATCAATAATCAGTGTTTCGATTAGACTGATATATGTATATATATTGTAATGTGGCTTTCATTGTGATCAATAAATGATGCTTATTATTATTGGAAAAATAGAGAAAGTTATCCTTTGTAGCTGTGCATTAAAATATGGCTCTATATGTTTTTATATATATAATTCTCACGAGCTGCATATAGCAGCGATTGTTGTTTCGCAAAATCGCCAATTTTACTGCCAGCTAATGGCAACTGTAATTATACAGGGTATCTGTGCATCACTTGAGAGCAGCAGTAGCACTCTTAGCTGTAAATTCAACAAAATGAGGTCATGTGTGTTGGTGTGTGTGTGTGTGCGTGTGTTCTGTTGCGGTTAGTTGTTGTTAGTTGCTGTTTTTCATTTGGAGTGGACACTGCAGCTGCTAATTTACCACATCCGGCTAAAAAGCATCTGCTAGCCGCCCTATTGCCTGATGTCCCTCCAGAGCCATTTCCGGAAAATAAACCCAAATCCAATCCCCATCCTGCGCAGAAAAGATGGGTAAAAAAAAAAAAACAAAGAGTCCTCTTCGCATGCAATTTATTTCGAAACAGAACGGAAATCGGATTTATTAGCCGCAAAATTGCTTTTAAGCTTTAGCTGTCCAATTTCACAGTGGCTCTCAAACCGATACCACTTTTGAGTCCCGCACGGCTCTCTACTTGCCTCTCTCCGCGCTCCTTTCTCACTTTCTTGGTGTGTAATGACATTTCTGTGTCGTTTTGGCTTTTTATCTAAGGGCAAAGAAGGGAAAAGTCGCTCGACATTAAATTGAAAATCAATATTGCGTTGTTGCAGCAGAATGCTGCAGTTCTTTTTGTTGTTTGTTGTTGCTGTTGCTATCTTCCGGTGTTGCCACGCCCCCTTGTGCCCTTTCCACTCCCTGCCACAGTTTCCCCCACAGTTTTGAGCATGGTGAAAGCAAATTGACATTTCCACACTTTAGTCGTTGCATTTGCTGTTGCTGTTGTTGAGTCTTGGACAATCTTCACTTCCGTTTTTTCACACACACACACACACACACCATGCTGATCCTGCCCAACTCCTGCCTCTACCAGCTTCCGCTGGTGTTGCAGAAATTTTTGTGTCGCTTTTGTCTTTTAACTTGCCAGAGTTTCAAGTTGCCTGCTGCAACTTACTTTATCGTTGCACTTTTTGCCTTTTGGCCTGGCCTGTGGTTCGCTTCTTCTTCTGCACTCTCGTGCCACTTTCCCCGTGACACTTGTGCCAGTCAGTGTATGCCACAAAGATAGTCAACAGCAACAACAATAGCAACAGGACAGGACACCGGCGGCAGCTGATGTCATTACGCTTTAAGCTAAAGTTGCGCTTTTGTAGTATGGTCTGTGGCAGGTTCGCCTCTGGGGTGCGCTTGCTGCGCTTATTTTGTATGTGTTTTTTTTTTAATGTTTATATTGGATAAATTGTTATAAAAACATACTTATGTAATTTAATATGTAAATATGCCTTTTACCACTAATATTTTCAAGGGTATCGTATATATTAATACAGAGATTTTTAAATTGTTTATAATATGATAAAATCATGTTGAGTGTTTGCTATTTTTTCACAGTTTGTAGTTTTTTTTTCTTATTATTATATATTTAACTAAATTTTTAATTTTTTTTTATTTGTTTTGTTATTTGGTGATAGATTTTCAAGTTTTCTCAGCTCTAAGAATATAAAATGAATATTTTGTCCACAAAATCTGTGAGAAAATTTCATTGTTAATTGCTGTCGTACAATTATCTGTCATTTAACTGATATATATTTATATGATTACATTTATATATTCATATACATACATATCCACACATACATATATATAAATAATAACAATATATATATATATTTATATATATATTGCAGTTTAAATGCTGTTGGCTTCTGGCTACTTTTGCTCCTTTCTGATTGTGTGGATTTGCCAGCATTTTTCTTCGTTGGTAATGGCAAATATGTTTTTGGTCACATTGAAATTTATATTGATGGTCTCTGGATGCCGTCTGTCTTGGCAACAGTTTGCATTCATTTTAACGTCTCCTGTCTGCTCGTCTCTGCCCCACTCTCCACACTCTCCTCTGTACTTGTGTGCCAGTTGATCTGTGGTTCTGTATGGTCCTTTCATTCCTTTTGCCTATAAATAATGATTTCTTTGCCATTTGAGCAGCTGTTGCAGCTTCAATGTGCAACTGGCTGAAAGTGCTACTCTCTATCTAGCTGGCTGCTCATGCGGGTCTTCCCACAAATGCATATGTAATTGCATTGGTCATAAGGAATGCATCAAACAGAACCCAAATTTATATATATATATATATATATAATGTATACTTGTATGTACAAATATTCATATGTGTGTGTGTGAGCAGATTACGGGTAGAGAGAAAATTTGTAATTTTTTTTTTATAGGAAACATATATTTAATAAGATAGAAGAAGTGTAATTGAAATATATGTGATTTTCTATATTTATACATATATTTTTTATTATTTCTACTTTTATATTTTTCGAAAAACAATTTTAAATATGTAAATAACTTTTTTTTTTATTGAAATAGGTGTGATATTCTTTACTTATTGATATATTGTAAATATATTTTAATTTTGTTTGTTGGATTATTCGCGATATTCCATTAAAATCAATTAAAAATAAATGCTTTTTTTCCTGTTTTACATTAATCAGGTAATTTTAATAAATACATTTTTAACATTAACAGAAAAAATGTAGATTTAAATGTGGAATTAAATTAAAAAAGGTCTACATTTATTTATATAGTGGCTTACAAAACGTTATATATAAAATAAAATTAGTTAGAGTAAATCACATAAAATTTATTAAAATAGGAGAAATGTTTCCAAAAGTAGCCATGATACTCAACTCATCTGACGTCGGATGCTGTAGATCTACACTAGATTTACACCTCGTTTCATTTATATACATTTATGTTGCACATATAATTTGTGGCTAAGATTGACGTCGATGTTGCGGAAACCGTGTTAAGTTAATATGTTTCATATTTTAGCGATGTTTAACACTCAGTTGTTACACTTTATAATACTGGCCCGCTTTATGCAACATTATACACAAATAACTATATGAATATTGCATTTGCTTGTTGAAGCCATTGCATTGTGTTGCCAAACAATGCCATACGTGCCACCACCACCAACTCACCACCAACTCCCATTTTGCATGCAATTCCTCAGTTTTTGTGTTCTGGTGTGGTAATATCGACGACATTTATAATAAGAAATATGCACGAAATTCAAATAAAAAAAAAACAGAAAATATAAAAATTCATGAAAGAAACCGCTTGTGGAAAGAAAGAAAGGGGGTGTTGTGGCGGTTGCACTTGAATCGACGGCATATTGCCGCATTTTGTCTTGTGTAACCAATTTCGTCAATATATGATTTTTTCTTCTTTTTTGCTTTCTTTCTTCAGATGCGTTTATTGTGCCTGCTTTTCATATATGTCATATTTATGGCCCAATGCCTCATGTTCGTCTTTTACTCTGTCGTTTGCATGTATACAAGAATGATGTATCATATAATGATGAGTCATATGGTTTTCCAATATTATGTTAAAAGCATCTTTAAAGTGCTTGAGAAGCGTTGCTCTTTGAGTTTTGCTTTATCGCAAAATGCAATTATAATTAAGATGCATAAATTATCGCTAAAAAGCATAAATTGTGTGAGACCATTAACAGAAATGTGAAAAAGAGAAATGAGTTTCTTAAATATTGTATGTAAAATAGTGTGATAAAATGTTTAAAAACAATTTAAATTTGTATTTCACTCAGTCTAAGTGTAACTTTCAAATTGAGAACATTAAGTTTTAATGCGACTTGGCTGTTTTTCTTTTAGTTTAGCAGTGATCCTAACTAATCGTTGTAAAGTTTATATATAAATAAACATGACAGCTTCAGTCAGCCAGCCAGCAAGAAACTTGGAAAAACTTTGTTCATTTCGCTGGGCGTGTTGTGCAGAGTGTGAAAATCGAAAACTAACAGACGGCCACGCCTATTTTTTTTTTTCTATTTACTTGTTTCTTATTTTACTTGTACTTAATACAAGTAATTATAAATGTGAGCTGTATGCGATTACTTTTACTTAATATGTAACCAGCCTTGCCGTTGCCAGCACTTTGAATTGAATTTCGGGATTTACTTTTCCGTTTGATTCGCTCGCTTCATTTGACTGCATTTGTGTGTTAATCAGTCAATGGGGATTTCGTTCAACTTAGGAGACGGTGGAAGTGGCAGAGTGGGCACTCTTGGCCTGTGTGGATTTGTGTGTGTTAGCCGATTAGATTTGCTTTGATCTGGAAAGTGCTGCTGCTTAATTGATTTCGAGCTGCAGATTGTTTCACTTCTCCACTTTGGCTTAAGTTGTTGTTTCTTGTCGAAGTAAATGAGCAATAAGTTAATGAGAAGAGATAAGCTGGAGTGGAGCTCAGAGCGGTTTTATGGCGTCTGGGAAATACTGAAAAAAATAAAATATTAGCCAACTCCTTAACTGCATTTTACATATCTTATTAAAGATTGTAACTGAGATCATATTAAGATGGTTTTTATTTAAAAAAGCTGACTGCATAATATTTATATTTATTTATGTTTTATGCAGCAACAAAGTGCAACAA